ATACGCCATACCGTGTAGTTCCAGTCCGTTTTATTTGTGAGGACGTTGTAGATGATTTTGGCCCGAGAGCCTAGAAGTTGATATGATAGATCTAGTAATCCAAATCCTCCTTGCTTTTTTAAAGCATGAAGATTCTCTTCTCCAATTCCCGCAAAACTTTTTTTTATTATACTTTTAGCTTCCTTTATTTCTTTGGCACCCATTGGATTGATTACATCAAAATAGTAAATCTTAGATAGGATATAAGTATTAAAACCTTGTGCCCGTAGATGTATAGGGAGTTGTCGCATTTCAATTGAATTGAGGTTCTTTGTAATTTGATTGATATACTTCAGCCATTCGAAACCGTTGTAGGTAATACCCAAGTACTTAAATTGTGTTTTAGCTATGTTTATCCATTTAAAGTTATCAGGGAAGGGGTGTCCTTCTTGGCAGCATAGTTGTGATTTAGTATAATTGATCATCCCTCCTGATGCCTTCTCATAGTTTTGTATTGCCTTTTGAAGAATATGAAGATCCAGATTGCCTTTGATAAATACTGTTAAATCATCAGCGTAAGCTAGCGTTTTAGCATAATAGTTATTATAAATCTCGATCCCATGCAACGTTTTCTGTAAATCATAAATTAGTGGCTCCAAAGATAGATTGAAAAGTAAAGGGGAGACTGGGTTACCTTGTCTAGTTCCTCTTGTTAATTGAAAAGGTGAGGATTCATGGTTATTAATTCTAACAACTGCTTCTTGTTGTGTAGTAAGCAGCATAAGGGCCTGACACATTTTGGGTCCCAATTGTATTTTCTCGAGGATGGCTCTAAGATATGTATGCAGTACTCTGTCGAAAGCTTTAGAGAAATCTAGCATAACAATGCTTTCATCTCTAAGATTTGTCTTTTCTATCTTTTCTTTTATCAATGTCAATTTCTGTATAATATCTTGGATTGTCCTCTCTTGCATGAAACCTCCTTGATCATGACTGATAATGTTGCTGACTACCGGTTGTAAGCGTGTATTCAACACCCCTGAAATTATCCTGAGCAGGCAATCGATTAAGGAAATGGGTCTGAAATTGGTTATTTCTGGATGGCCCTTATGACCTTTAGGGATTAATGTAATAATGGCCTTCTTCATCAGTGGAGGTAATTGTCCCGTATTCATCATTCTTTGTGCACTTTGAACTAAAAGGGGTCCCAGTGTTGACCAGGTTTTTTTTAGAAAGCGATAACAAATTCCATCTTCACCTGGAGACGACTGATTGGAGCACTTTTTCAAACTCTTTGTTAATTCATCCAACTTAATGTCCTGTTCTAGTTCTTCTTTATCTTTCGCGTCTATGCATTTATTAAAATTCTCAAGATATTCAGGTATGTATTGCTTATGTTCTTCTGATTGATTATCGGTGAAAAGCTCCTCCATTTCTTGCTGAGCAACCTTTATAATTCCATCAGTATTGTCCGCTATGACCACCCCCTTCTCATATAAAGTTTCAAAAATAATGGGTTTACGTTTCTTTCCTCTAAATCTTTCATTCAAATCTTTGTAAATATCTAATTCGGATTCTTCTGTTTCTGATTGGGCTGCGTTAGCTCTAATCCTCATGTTCTTTGCTATCATCTGTGTCTGATTGACAAAAGCTTCCCAATCTTCCGTTTGAAGTCCTTTTATTGACTCAATAAATTCCTTATTCTCAATATATCTGTTAGTGATAATGAAACGTTGTTTTCCAATCCTGATTTTGGGCTTATGACTCATTAAAATATCAATTGCAATGGTGTCATGTGTGCTCTTTATGGTATCCTTCCTGTGAGATGTATAGCAGGCAACATGATTCTTCCATGTACTATCCAAATAAAACCTATCTAGCCTTCTATTATTTCCATGATTTCTATTGGTTGTGTGTTTTTTTCTTGGCCTAAGCCTTCGAAATACATCAAAAAGGTTGTTCTCCTTCTTAATTCCTTTCAATGATTCTACAGCCTCGTTGGCTGCTTTTGTACTTTTGACTATGTTTTCTGCATCAATATTCGGATTTTCAATGTTGTTGAAATCTCCTCCCATGATTATTCGGATTCTCTTTCCTATATGTACTTGTTTGATTATTTGAATTGCTTCTTTAATTTCGTTAAATAAAAGTTTCTGAGCCCCATAGTTTCCTGAATGTGCATAAATACTGATCACCATTACATACGCTTTCTGTGCATGTAATCGAATCAAGACATCGCTAACCCGTGTCCTATACTTTTCTGGAAGACAATTTGTCATCAGTAATTCTTCTAATATTGTATATTTTTTTTCATTTTCCGTGTTTTTGACAGCTATTCCCGCTAGACTCCTCTCTGAGTACTTTATATATCTGAAGTGGGGAATACCATCTAAACTTTTATATGTTGCCTTTGTAGTTTCCTGTAATAATGTAATATCTGAAAAGTGCAAAAGCTGTTTAAGTTGTTTGAGGTCTTTCGACTTTTGAATATTTTTTGTTGTTATTTTTAAATTGTTTATTGGATGATTGATCGCCTTTATAAGGTTCAAGTCTATCGTTTGACGATCTTTTTCATTTCGCGTAGTTTGTTTTGTAGGTTGCATTTGTTGTTCTAAAGTTAATGCCAACTTTAGATTATAATATTTATTAGAATCACACATTTTAATTTAATTGGTGGACGAGACCCACCGTTTGGTTGGCCTCTGAGGGATGGTGATTATCGTCGTCTATGTCTGTATCCAAATCCGTGCATACTTCACTGACGTCCATATTTTCATCATCATAGTCTTGTGTGTTTTGAGTTATCCTCTCTAATGTGCTTCCTTATATCTCTATGACAAACAAGTATAAAGTTTGAAGCAAGTCGATCCTGATGATTCAATTGTTTCCAATATCTTGTTTTCCTTTTATATTTATGAACTTCTATCATTAAAACCATGCAAAAGAGAACAGAACTCGAGTTATCTCACAAGTTATAGTCTTATTATTCTCTCTGAAGTCAAGAAAAAGAATCCATCACATCGGATTTGTGGCAAAGTGTCAACACGGGTAGGTGATGGAGGTGAGAATAAGGGGGATCTAACAGATATGTACAATTGACAACTTCCTTTGGCAAACTCTACAACTATGTTTGATTATTTGTTGCGATTGTTGGATATCTACGGCTTCTCGGGCCCATTCAAATTCTACAGGTCTGTCTGTCCGTGCAAACTCTATTGGTGGTGTCAATGAAAACTTCAGAAAATATAATTTTGCTCCTCTGTTGGATCATTGATGGCGTTATTGGAATTGGCACCAAAAGTGGAAGGTAACTGAAATGAGTACATCTGCCTATATGGAAGAAGCACCAGAGCAATGGTCCACTGGTATGTTAACTCTTTCTCCCTATAAATTATGTAATTCAATTGGCCAGTTTTTAGAAGGGGGGAGATCCCCAATGATAATAAGAATCATGTTTGAATATACCAAATAGAATAAACACTCCTCTTATCAGGAAGTTCCAATATGATCCCCTCTTATCTGAAACAAAACGACATTTTCTCCAACATTTTGTGTCACAGGTTCAATTGTCCTGTTGGATGTTGTGTTCTTCAATGCATAAAAAAGCGCAAAATACTTTTTTAGAGAAACTCCACAAACACCACCATAAACCCTCTCTAATGGATGCATTAAGTGGATTGCTCGTGGAGACAGGTGTTTTCGGTGATAAGATATGATACTATAAAATTGGGATTATTACAGGTTTGTGGATATACATTTTATGCAGGGTTTTGATAACTGAAGTGTTTTTACCAGATACCCTCTCTAAGAATGAATTTTATGGATTTTCCTAGGAATGGAGACAGGTGTTTTTCGGCTATAAGGTATAAGACTATAAAATTAGGATTACTACAGGTTTGTGGATATGCATTTTGTGTAAGGTATTGATACCTGAGGTGTTTTACCATATACCCTCTTTAATGATGATTTTATGGATTCTGTTAGTACTAAGGGGTAATGGAGACAGGTGTTTTCGGTGATAAGGTACCAGACTATAAAATTGGGATTACGGCAGGTTTGTGGATTTACGCCTTGTTTAAGGTTTTGATAACAGCGGTGTTTTATTTGGCTATTTACTACTTCTTCAACCAACTTTGATTCAGTCAAATATTACTCAACACTTTGATTTGCTTGTTGCTTTTTTTTTTTGAAAACTGAATCTTCATCAGATACAGAAAGTAGTGTTGTTGCTGCTCCATATTGATCTTATTCATGAAGGGCTCTGGCAGCAAAAATTCTTACTTTTGATTATGGATAGGTTTGCCCGTTTTATTACAACAATTGTATAACCTTTGCACAATTTAAATTCTCATAAGTAAACAAACCAATTAAAAAAAGAACCTAAACTTGCCTCTCAATTGACGAGTTAAACGACTAGTTCATATTTTATTGAGATGACAGTTGTATCCTCACTGGTATAGAAGAAATCCTAGGGTTTATTGGTTGCAAAGGTTTTAATTCATGGAAAAGGAATCTGACGCAACCAAAATCCTATTCAGAAAGTTATTTATCAACTCCACGACTTGCGTACTATAATCAATTGTTACATTTGTGTTGAGTTCCTCTGTGTGTTTCAATATAATGAGATAAAGTCAACTTAGGGTAGTTTTACGAATAAATTGAAACTTTCCTGTATATAAGCAAGTTTCCCATATTTTGCAATTTCCTAAATTTTTGAATCCAAATGATAAAGCAACAGTTCATCGTTTAAAACACATACCCCCGTACTTAGTTTCAATTCTCCCTGTGAATCGTTGAAGGAAATTATTCTTATTCCTTAGAACGTACAAAAGATAATTTTATTGTCTTATACTTTAAGATATTAGTGTTAGCATTCTAGCCGCTACTGTCTATATTTTGTCAAATCAACTCGAATCAATCACACGCTTGCATATTGTAAGATTACTCCCTACTTATACAATTTATAATTTCTTCATTCGCCGATTGATTCTTTCAACCTCAAAACAAAAGACTGCCCAACAATGATATTACCCCGGTTTTTCTTTGACATGGATAACGACTATGGCGATCACAAATTCGACAATAAAAAAGTTGCATTAATCCTTCTAGCCTCCCTAGCACTAGCATTTTTAATAGTTGGATGTATTATTGGTTGCTGCACTTGTCATAAACCTGTGAAATATCCAAAAATATTTACTCAATCACCAATGCCACCATTACCACGAAGGAGAAATGACCCGATGTCTGCTACCAAAATACCTAGTTATACGCCGGCGTCAAGAATGAGTGAACTGGCACTTGGGAATATACATCAAACATATACAAATCCTAGTTTCCTTCTCCCTGAGGGAGGAGAACCACTTCCATCGTATGAATTTATTACTCCTAAACATCCTCCACCAGCATATATTCCCAAGGGTTAGTCTGTAGGCTTGATAAAAACTATGTTCAACTTTATTCAGAGGAAATTTCTCAATAGATTTGAGACGACGTAGCCGCTTTGCTTGTTATTATGTATTTGTCTTTAAGTCTTTATGCTTCTTTTTTATATGTATTTATGATTTAATCTGATGGCTTGGTTCAATTTGTATATTCATAACTACCTTTTTCTCTGTATATTAGATCTTGTAGGTTCGTTTAGCAAAATGGTTGCAAATTGGATGAAGTCTTTTAATGAACAGACTTAAATCCTATAGAAAAGTTGCTGATTTCATTTGTCAATAGATAGTGCTGTCCCTTCGAGTCGTCTCACTAGAAAGATTCCTGAAGTCTTAAATAACTAGACACTTCTCTATAAGAGCAATCCGGTGTCCTTGTTGAGGGTATTCCCCGGCGTCTCCTGGTATGCAATTCCTCCATCTATTCTCACTAGTGGTTCTCGTCTGGGGAGAAAGTAGAGATAATTACCAATTTTATGATAGTCATTCATAGAATATAAGAAATAAAGTGGTGATACATCATTGTATTCTTGGCATGGGGGATGATGATCATCGTTACCTATGCGAAAAATTAATAATGACTAATTTACTTCTGTTGCAATGAAGTTTTAGCTTCTCATCTTAAAGCTAACTGTATTCTAAAGTGGAATCTAATTTCACGTGAAAGAAGAATTCAGTCATCGTTTGCAATCTAAAGATTTGATTCCCCAATTCTCTTTAATATGACTAATTAATTTATTTTTTGTTATTGTTTTTGACGAGGCTTTCAATTCCTCGCCTATTTAAATGCATGAAAAAATATGCATTAAGCGAAATAAAATTTTTCTTTAATTTTCATTTTCGTTTCATTCTTAAACAACAACCAACAATGTGGTTATCAAAAGATTCAGATGGTGAAGCATTATCAAAGCGTGCTTATTATTATTATGATACTGATAGTTATTTTAAGCTATATGCCTGGCTTGCGTTGTTGGGCCTTATTCCCGTCGCAATCCTTGTAGGAGTCGTCAGATATAAAAAGCTACAAAAAAAGAAACTACTCCAACAACAACTTGAAATGCAACAGGATGGGCCCGTTGCTCCAATTATGGCAACACAGGGTCCGACTGATGGTCAATACTACCCCTATACTCAACCAAACTCTACTGCTTATCCCGATGGATACTTACCTCCACAGGCTCCACCAGGATATATCCCTCCTGAAGTGCCTTCACTGTCGGTCAATATGGGTAATTCTCCAAATTCAGGGGATTATTTCTCTCCTCCACCAGGTCCACCTCCTGGTACGAATGTATATACTGCCCCAGAAAGTCCTCCTGCAGCACATACAAAATAAGAATTGGTGTGGCATCATCCTCGCTGACCACGACTTGGGTTTTAGTTGGATGTGACGGAGTCTTGGAGCTTAGACCAACCCCTCCATTTTTGATTTGAGAGTTATGCAGGGCCCAATAACATTTTTGTGGGATATGGACTTACTCTGTTTATTTGCATCACAGAAGGTCAGGGATTTACAGCCACTGCAAAATACTAACATGGTTAGTGTATATAGTTTAAATGCTTGATTCTTGTATACCTAGTCTATTAATAAATATAATATATTCCAGAATTGGATTGCAACACGATCGGTTAGTTTTAGTTTTGTTGACTTTTCAGAAGTTTTGCCAGAAGTTTTAGGAGACCATACATGAAAAAAAGCGCGTTTCTTATTGAAATTAAATATCTAAACAACAAGATCCCCAAGACCAAGAATACCAAAACCAAGATCAGTAACCACAACAGCAACTATATTTCAGCTAAAATGGGACGAAATGGCTACCCAATGATCCCTTTGCTGACCTCACAGGCAGCGAGGCGAAAATTAAATATGTCAGAGAGAGCATATATCCTTGGAGCATTGCGCAACGGAGCTACGTTCACCCAATTGGGAAACGATTTGAATGTCCATCGGGTCACGGCTAACAGAATAGGTACCAAAATTCAAGATACTCACCTGATCGATATTGCCCACCGTAGTGGCAGACCAAAATCAGCCAGAAAGCAAGGAGTTGAAAAGCTTAGAGTTTCCCTTCCCGAAGTCTGTCCCAAAGTGAAGTATAAGAAACTAGATGCCCTGTCGGGGTTTAAAGATAATACTGGGAAGTGATATTATAGAAAACAATTGGCATCATATGCGTGATATGCTTCAAGCTAAGATTTATGCTGACAATGGTCAAACTAGTATATTTTTCTGTTTAAAGGTGAGTGCTGTCATTATATCATTTAACTATATATTTTTTAAGATTTCTAAATAAATACGCGTAATTGTATGATACTGAATGAAATACTTTGAATTTCTATTATTTTTTGTCTGAGGTCTAAAGTCTCTTAAACATAAAAGCTGAAAGGCAGCCCACGCTAAAGATTCTTGCTATCAGTAGTAAATTCAAGCAAGCATGAAAGGAGAAATACCTGGTTGAGCTAATTGAAAGACAATGATTTTCCTTCATGCAGCTGGGCTATGCATGGTGATTTTTTAAAAAATTTCACAAGAAATCAAACAAAAATTTTGATATCATCCGAAAGCAGTTGCAATAATCAGAGACAGAAACATAACTTCAATGGGCCTTTACAAAGGCGTATTTATATAATTCAGCTTTTTAATTATTATCGCCAAACTTGAGTTTTGAGTTTTGACTTTCTTTTTGCAACCAAAAAAAAAGAACCAAGAAAATTTTTGACAAATAAAAAAACCTTAAATGCCCATACAGTTCTTCTACCAAGAAAACCCACCAACAATTCATATCACTTCAGTATTCAAAAAAAATTGAAGCTCATGTTTCGTGAACAAGCTTTAATTGGTGATTAAAGCCCGACGCGGGGGTCGAACCCGCAACCTTTTGATGTCTAACATAAGAGTCAAACGCTCTACCGATTGAGCTAGCCAGGCTTCTGGGATTGGTTTGGGATTTCGGAAATTTTTCGGGTCCCGTGATAACACGTGACTTTCACATGATATTCACGTGAAAATCATGCGTATATCATGTGAAAATCATGCTTTTGTCGTACGTTTGTCAGGTGCGGCAATATGGATGAGAATATGACCATAAAGGCATTAAGATTCCTTGATAAATCACTTTTGTGATAATATGAGAGGTTTGATTTATTCTCGTTCCTGTGGCAGATTTTACGGAAGACAGGATTTCCCAAATGGTGATTTCTGAAACCAACTTTGCGACCCAGCGAGAACAAATCTACATGATGTGCTTAAGGTCGACCAGGGTTTCTAGATTTTAATTGGCAATGGCAAATTGCCACATGTTGGCATCATAGCAGGATAACCTCTCGAGACCTTCTTTAAATGCAGGAAATCATAAAACACAAGTAACGTGTGGAGTCGAATATCATCATGATATTTCCTATTTCTTAACTTGTTGCGAGATATCGCCTTTTGACCATCTTGTTAAATTCAGCTTGGGATTGGTCGTTTCAAAATGACCCATTGTTTTTAATCATACTTTGGAACAAATTTCTAATGGAAATTTAGAAGTTCCAAGTTTTCTTTTTTGACATATCCTAACTCCTTTCTTCTCCCGTAGTTCAGATAGTTAGATGACTGGTGATTCATGTCGTTCGGTTTTAGATTAAACAGGAGAATGGTCCTTTCACGTTAGTTATTTGTGCTGAGCATTGTAGAAAGAGGACACCATAATATGGATTCCAGTAGTTGAATATGAATGTTCTCCTGTAACGTCGAACCTGTTCGCTGGTGAAAATTTCTTGTATTGTAAAACATAGCCTAAGAGGTTTCTTTGGGAGCATGATATTGAGTCTCTTCAAAGTTCATTTGAAGACCATAATTTAGCTCCTTGTTTATCGATTCTTTATACGAGTCAAATCTAGCTGCAACAAGTAGGATATAATCCATATACGTAAACACAAATTCTTTGATCAATATCAAAATGCAACTGGTGACAAACAGTTCTAAACGGTACGAACGTCAAGTTGTGACTTCCAAATGAAAAATCATTTCTTCTCCTCTATAAAGCTTTTAATCGCCTTCCTTTCAGAAAATGTAGCACAACTCATCGGTTATTGAGGTGCTGACTTTCAAATATTACATTACCCGTTGGAGCTGATAATTCACCAGTAGTATTTTCAAAGATATTACCTAAAGGTGATGCTTTTGCATATGTGGATGACATCATAATTTTCGCATCTGGCTATGAATCACGATGACAAGCAAAGCACTCTAGGTCTCGTGCAAAACAAATATTTTGCAGCTCCGGATAAATATATTAGAGTTTTTACCGACGGGGGAACGAGTTGGGTGATTCGATAAAGACTTTCCTATTAAAGGAAATTCCCCATGAATTTGACAAAGAGCCTCATTGAAACAATTGATAGTTCGGGGGAACGGGCCACATCGAATCTCACATGGAAATACACAAATCTCAATACTTACCTTTTTCACCTTAGACTTATTTTTTTAGTATTAAGTCGATGAATGCCTCAGGCAATTATTACTAAATGGTTCCTCTGTCCCTGTTCTTACGTGGTTATATCTCGGGTAACCCGAAACTCAAAAGAAGAGTGGAGTGAGAGGGGTAAAACAAAATAAACAATTGGAGAAAAAAATTTAATTTTTCCACTTCTTGAAATTTTCTTCTCTTTCTCCACATATCGAATAATTTTTGATTGTTTATAAAGACATTACCATTCGCT